ATCTTCAGTTCTGGCTTGACGGGCTTTCAGATTCTTTGATGGTGCATCTTGTACTAGACTTCATAACGTCAAATTAGCAACAATAAGTACACATTCCTATAGTAATAAGATGAGGTGACTAAGTCACAAGGAACCTACAGTGCACATAGTTCTATAAGTATTTCATTAAATGTAATTAAATTACATTAAATGTACATCTGTAATTGAGTAATTTATACTTTTTAAAGTTTATGTACTTATATTAGGCTATCTGTGTGGTGTACCTTTTATAGTGAGGATTAGCTATAGTTGTGCATACTTATTTTGGTTCAGAGTTTCTACTTTATTCATTTGTTCTTTATTTTATTTTGGTCATTGTTGTTCAGTTTTCCTTTCATTTGATAGCTTGTTGGCAAAAAAACAAAGTAAAGTAAAAAATAAAAAGAGCTTCATTTTGTATTACAGTGCATTCTATGGAAGTATTAATAATAATAATAAATTTTATTTGAAAGCGCCTTTCAAAACACTCAAGGTCACTGTACACAGACTAAAAAGCAACATAAAAGCAAGCAATATTGTGAGTCTTGTGCTAAATGGTGTGAAAGGAGAAAACTTTTTACTTTTGCATTTATTTAAAGCTTCTTCAAAACAAAGATTCAAAGAAGAATAAAAGCAACAAATATGAAAGGAAAAACTGCCTTAAAAGTGAAAGAAAAAATGTGATAAAGGCATTAGCAGTTATACAAAGCCAAATGATAAAAATGTGTTGCCTGCCTGAGATCCTCAGGCAGGGAATTTAGTAATTGTGGTGTCCTGGCTGCAAAGACTCGATCACCTTTAGTGACTGATTCTTCTAAGTCTTTAAAAGTCTGTAGCAGATGGCGGTCTGAGGAATAACTGTACAGATGTTCGACTTTCCAAAAATTCAAATACACCGTGCATCTAAATGAGAAGCTGGGCATCCAGCAACGTGTGACTAATTCATCACCTGGAGAATCTGAATATCTGTACAAATTCAACTGCAATCAACCTAAAAGCTGGTTAGATTTCAGTCTATAGCTCAAAGCGACCGACCAACAGGCTGAGTAGACTACAGAGCCCTGTAGTCAGAATGGCTCAAACAATTATGTTTGTAGTAGCATTTGCTTAGAGACACGGTAACAGTAGATAGCATCTTTTTCCCGTCCCAACCTTACCAACACGTCCAATACACCGTGAGGATCTATCGCTGCTTCCATATTTTCTATACCAGTTGATGACCTACAGTGATAATTGTGATGTATGGCCAAAGGTGCTGGACCTCGGCTGCTGACCTTTCCACAATCTCATACTGGGGAACCTTTACCATCGACCTCCTTTGCCCCTCCCCATTTTCCACAGATATTCCAGGGGCTCCAACCTTCCTCTCCCCTCCTCCTCAGCCATGTACATATTGTAGTTGGCTCGACGTACCAAGCCCGAAACACTCCAGTGGTTCCATGAATGTTAATGCTGGGATAAAGGAGCAGAGGAGAGGGGAGGGAGGCACGGTACAAGGGACAACTTTACCTGGCCTGCAATGCACAGCTATATGAAGCTTCTTCCGTGTTACGGTTCATATTGATTAAGCCATGTTTTCCTTGTTATAGTATGTGTGTGAAATATTAAGTGTGTGAGCAGCATTTTCAGGACGAGTCGCAATCACACTCCCCAAACCATGCGCTGTAATAATTTCACTTTTGTATACGAAATGTAAGGACGACTTTTTGCTATTTGATCTTTGTGTAATTTTGGTGCAATCAAGATTT